TCGCTGACGATGTTGATGCTGCTGATACTGACTATGATGATGCTGCTGATGATGATGCTTATTGATGCTGAGGATGCTGACGATTAGGATGCTGATTATGCTGGCGATGCTGATGCTGATGCTGATGAGGATGATGCGGATTACTCGGATTACTTCTTTGATTACGCTGATGCCGTTGATGCATACCAGGCTGCTGATGCTACTGCTGATGCTGATGCGGATGCTGATTATGATGACGATGTGATGAGTATGGTGATGACGATAGTGATGGTGACGGTGATGATGCTGATGCTGGTGATGCTGCTGCTGATGACGAATCTGATACCAATGATGATGATGATGCTGATGATGCTGCTGATGATGAGGATGATGATGCTGCTGATGATGATGATTATGATGTTGATGATGCTGCTGTTCATGATGATGATGATGATGATGATAATGCTGATGATGATGATGATGATGATGATGATGATGATGATGATGATGATGATGGTGACGGTGATGGTGATGCTGGTGGTGGTGGTGGTGGTGGTGATGCTGCTGATGCTGACGATGAGGCTGATGATTGCGATGCTGATAGTGTGGTGGCGACGGTGCCGATGCTAATCATGCGCATGATGGTATTGATGATGCCGAGGATGGGTACGAGGATGAGGAAGGGGAGGAGGAGGAGGAGGAGGGATGCGGCTGCTGTTGATTCGGATTGAGATGCTGTTGATGATAATGCTGATGATCAGGATGCCGAAGACGATGAAGGATCATCATTCTACTGCTGCAGATGGTGACGGCGATAGTGATACTGCTGCTGATGATGATGCTTCTGCTGATGATGGCGATGCTGATGCTGATGCTGATGCTGATGCTGATGATGATGATGCTGATGATGATGGTGATGGTGATGGTGATGGTGATGATGCTGCTGATGATGATGATGAGGATGATGATGAGGATGATGATGCTGCTGCTAATGCTGATGACGGCCATGATGATGCTATGGGTAAGGATGATCATGATGAGGAGGATGATGATGATGATGATGACGATGATGATGATGATGATGATGATGATGATGATGATGATGAGGATGATGGGGATGTTGAGGGCGATGATGATGATGACGAGGAGGATGATGATGATGATGATGATGAGGATGATGATGATGAGGAGGATGAGGAGGAAGGGTAAGGCAAGAGGGCGAGGAGAAGGGGGAGGAAGGGAGTGAATGACCAGTTAGGTGCACTCGCGCCATATCTGACATTCTACCCCTCCCACGCATCTCTTCCCAGTGCGCTTCTCTATCCGCGGACGCGTGTCGTAGCCGCCCTGAGCGCCATAAAATACCCCATCGTGTTATGTACATCCGAGCAAGTGGGGCAGCGTACCTAAGGGGGGGGGGAGTTGTCGGATGAGCAGGAGGATGAGCAGGAGGTAAATGAGGAAGGAAGGATGATGGTGATGAGGAGGAGGAGGAAGAGGAGGAGGAGGAGGAGGAGGAGGAGGAGGAGGAGGAGGAGGACGAACAGCAGCAGCGGGAATTGGAGTGGATGGAAGGAGTGGGAGGAGCAGGAGGACCAGCAGAAGGCGGAGGAGGGGACCCGGGCGAGAGCGGCAACAATGAGGAAGGACCCGGGCCCAGAAAAGAGGCCCGCGCCGGGACGAGAGCGTCATTCTGCACGACGGGAGCAAAGCTCCCAAAATGTGGTCACCGCTGCAGCGGCAGCACCATCTTGAGACACCAGAGACGTTCTGACCGAAAAGCCACAGGGAAGATCAAATAATGACATCCAGTTTAAACAACTATAGGGAAGACCATTTCATGTAATCCAGTATTGAAGACATGCAACGACAACCGTACGCGGAAGGGGCGGGCCACTCCCCAGCAATCGTCGTGGGGTAGATGGGAGGAGGGTTGTATTCATATGGGGTAAGTGTTGTTGGGGTGGCGCGAGGGAGGAGGCAGCAGGCAGGAGGGAGGAGGGAGGAGGGAGGAGGGATGAGGGAGGAGGAAGGAAAAGGACAAAGAGGAGGAGGAGGAGGAGGAGGAGGAGGAGGAGGAGGAGGAGAGGAGGAGGAGGAGGAGGGAGGAGGGAGGAGGGAGGAGGAGGGAGGAGGGAGGAGGAGGAGGGAGGAGGAGGAGGGAGGAGGGAGGAGGGGAGGGGGAGGGGGAGGAGGAGGGGGGAGGGAGGAGGGAGGAGGAGGAGGGGAGGAGGGAGGAGGGAGAGGGAGGAGGGAGGGGAGGAGGGAGGAGGAGGAGGAGGAGGGAGGGAGGAGGGAGGAGGGAGGAGGGAGGAGGGAGGAGGGAGGAGGGAGGAGGGAGGAGGGAGGAGGGAGGAGGAGGAGGAGGAGGAGGAGGAGGAGGAGGAGGCGCAAGAGAGGAGGAGGAGGAGGAGGAGGAGGAGGAGGAGAAGGAGGAGGAGGAGGAGGAGGGAGGAGGGAGGAGGATGGCGACGACGAGTCTGAGGTTTTTCCGCCGCCCGCTGGGGGAGCATGCCCGGAGGCAGACGATGCGCATGATGTTCTTCGTGGTGTCTGGCAAGCTGGGCGACCCTGGGGGTGGGCGAAGATCCCCGTGGAGGAGGAAGATGAGAAGGATGAGAAGCAGGGAGGTAGGACGAAGGAGGAGGATTTGAAGCAGGACGGAAGGATGTGGGAGGAGGAGGAGGAGGAGGAGGAGGAGGAGGCGGAGGAGGAGGAGGAGGAGGAGGAAGAGGAGGAGGAGGAGGAGGAGGAGGAGGGAGGAGGAGGAGGAGGAGGAGGGGGGGGAGGAGGAGGGAGAGGAGGGGGAGGAGGTGGCGGGGGGCAGCCCCACCCCGTGTGCTGCGAGGGCCGCAGCCCAGCCCTCTCGCTCTTCCCTCTCCGGGGGAGGCGGCCTCCGTCTGCCATGCGGTCGTTCCTTCCGCTTCTCCTTCCTGGCCCACGTGGGGGGCGTAGCTGCCTCGACGCGCCCGTTTTGAAACGCGACACGTCCCCAAGGTGGAGGGGTGGCATCGATGACCTGTTTGCGTTCTGACGGTCCTGAATTTTTGTTTGCCTTCCGGAGGCGCACTCGTCGGCGTGGCCAGATCCGCTTCGAGGCCAAGGTCCCTGTCCACCAGATCTCCAGGCGTCGCGAAGAAATCTCGACGAGCGTCTCCTGGCGAGTTCGGCCCCAAGGGGGCCATCAAGCATCGACCTGCGATGAAAGCCCGGTCCCAGGGACAGTTGGGCCGCGGGCGGGCCAATGACCAGGCCCACCCGCTCCCCTCCCCCCCCCGCCCGGCCCCCACACCGCGGGCGCTTAGCTGCCTCGATACGCTCGCTTTGAAACGCGACAGGTCCCGTGCTCAAGGCGTCTGTGTCAATACGTTGCGTGCGGGGTCCACGCATCGGCCCACGTTTTGGCGGACGTGTCGCGTCAGACCCACGTTTCGCTCTACGGGTGGAGCTCCGTATCGATACGCTACGTGTTGCGACCCACGTTTCGCTCTACGGGTGGAGCTCCGTATCGATACGCTACGTGTTGCGTGTTGCGTCTCGGGGCAGCCAGGGTGTGGAGGGGGCGTTCCAGAAGGGGCCCCGCCTTCGCGGGATCGAGAGGTCGACGTCGCTTCCTCGGTGGAGGGCGGCGGAAGTGCCCCGCCGGTCGCATCGCCCGTCTATAATTGCGTCTCCTGGTGCCCTTGTCGCTCCGAGGCGGTCGTTTTTTGGTCGAGTACTTTCTCGTGTGGCCCACCACGTAATTTGCAGCGACAAGAGGGAGTACACCCCACTCTTTCTAAAGTAGATGTCAGATACCGACCCACCCAAGTCCAGACCTACCCCGCCACTGCCGTCGTCGTCGTGGACGAGGATCGATGATCCAGGGCTTCTTGGATTGTGTGTGTGTGTTTGTGTGTTTTTGGTCACCCTCTGTTCTTGGGGCGACTGGGGGCTCCTGGAATCTCCAGGGACCTCGAGGACTTTGTTGGCCGATTGTCGGCGTCGTCGTCGCGAGGAGGAGAAGGAGGAGGAGGGTGAGGAAGAGGAGGAGGAGGACGAGGAGGAGGAGGAGGAGGAGGAGGAGAAGGAGGAGGAGGGGGGGATTTCCAATATGGACGCGCCTCAGATGGATGAACCGATCCCGGGTCACCTCTTGGAGCGATCCCCGGACTGACCCCAGATTGACCCCGAATTGATCCCGAACTGATCCCAAACTGACCCAGGACTGACCCTGGACTGACCCTGGACAAATCCCACACTGACCCAGGACTGCCCCCAGACTGACCCCAGACTGACCCTGGACTGACCCTGGACTGACCTCGGACTGACCCCAGACTGACCCCGGACTGACCCCAGACTGACCTTATGTTGCCCCCATCGTACCTAAGGACCACATATCAAAAACAATTTCAAGTACCCAGAAAAGTATCGAAACGGTGTCGGACGAGTATCGCCTCCCAGGGCCCGGCACGCGAAAACCCTCCAGCTTCGGTACTTTCTTGGTGCTCGAAGATCTCTCTGGTGATCAAGACTGAAGTAGGTTGGAACACCATAAGACTAGCCCCGGATAGATTCCAGACTGACCTCGGACTGACCCCAGACTGACCCCGGACTGACCACGAATTGACCCAGGACTCACCCGGGATTGACCCCAGATTGTTCCCACCTCTAGTCCCATTCGAATCTATCTTTACATATAATAGATACACACAGGTTGTACAACAGACATCACATAGTTGCACAATAGTTCTAGAATCGTTGTAGAACCACTTTTAGGCATCCATCCAAATCATTCGTCTATTATATGTTTATCTTTGCGACCTCAGGTCAAACTATTCACTATCTATGGAGCAGACAATTATTTGTACATGTTGCTCTGTATACAGCCACATATTTCCATGCGCATAGCGATTTTTTGTACACAACTTATTTGGCAGACCACACGTTTCATGCGCATGACATTTTTCACACATGATAAAACCCCACACGATGTAACATGTGTTCATGCGTATACACAGTGGCCACTATTGGAACATGCTCGGCCCACATCATCTCGTCCTCCATATCATCACTATCGTTGCTGCGCCCATGTCGGCACACCCCTCACACTGTTGGTGGCCCCATACTGGGCCCAACCGAAGGCCCTAATTGGAGGGTCCGCATGGCGCCGCCGCACCAAATTCGGCGCACGGCGCATCCCTTACGCGGTCCGTGGCCCCATTGGGAACTCCACCGAAATCCCCCATGGGAGGGCGCGCAAGGAGTTATTTCGGCGCACCCCTCACGCGGTTCGTTTCTCGGTTCGGAGTTTCGCAGAGGGCCGCAATGGGCGGGTCCGCACGGTGCCGCTGCGCTCATTTCGGGGCACCCCTCACACGGCCCGTGTCCGTGGCCCGTGGCCCCACAGGGAGCTCGACCGAAGGCCCTTGTGGGAAGGTCCCCGTTGTGCCGCCGCACCCGTTTCGGCACACCTTCACACGGTTCGTGGCCCCACAGGGAGCTCAACCGAAAGCCCCAGCGTCAGAGTCCCCACGGCGCGGCCGCCGGCCGCCCCAATTTCGGCACACATCCCTCCAAGCTGGACCTCGCGGCTCCTTGGGGAGGTCGTCGTCGTAGTGATCATCGTCGTGATGATCGTCGTGGTCTTGATCGTCGTCTTTGTCGTCGTCTTTGTCGTCGTCTTTGTCGTCGTTGTCGTCGTCGTCGTCGTCGTCGTAGTCGTCGTGCTCGTGGTCCTCGTTGTCGTCGTCGTCGTCGTCGTCGTCGTCGTCGTCGTCGTCGTCGTCGTCGTCGTGGTCGTCGTCTTGGTCGTCGTCGTGGCCGTTGGCGTGGTCGTGGTCCTGGCTGTGGCCGTGGTAATTGTGGTTGTTCTGGTCGATGTCACAGTGGTTGTGATGGTCGTAGTCGTGGTCGCCGTCGCCGTTGTGGTCCTGGTCGTCAACATGATTGTCGTTGTGGCCGTGGTCGTATATAGATGGTAAGGAAGTCTCAGGCGAAACGCCCGGCCCGCCCGTCGATTGATCTCGGGGTGCGACAGGGAGGAGGAGGAGGAGGAGGAGGAGGAGGAGGAGGAGGAGGAGGAGGAGGAGGAGGAGGAGGAGGAGGAGGAGGAGGAGGAGAGTACAAGTAGGGCGGAGCGGGGGAGGGGGGCGGAGCGGGGGAGGGGGGAGGAAGAGGAGGCCGGAGAGGAGGGGAATGATCTCGGGACCCGAGGTGCACACCAGGACGGAGGGGAGGCCTCCGAGGAGGCGGAGGATGCGGCGGCGGAGGAGAAGGCGCGGGAGCGGACGCGCCCCCTGAGAGCGCCGCCCCGAGGCGCGCTCTCCGTGGACAGCGGGCCCGTCTCCCGCCGGTCCCGCAGCGAGCCGCGGGACAACCGCCTGCCGCGCCCTCGGCAGCTGGAGGGGGATACATTTCTCGACGCGGAGGTTCCCATACGTCATTTCCTGGCACGTCCCGCTGTGAGTGTCTGGCCGTAAGCGTCTGGTCGTGAGAGCGAGTCCGAGTGGACGACGAGTGCGACGACGACGACGACGACGGCTACGATGAGGGACAGCGACGACGACGACGACAATTCACAGACAGGCAGACGGTTGTCCCGCAGCGAGCCGCGGGACAACCGCCTGCCCCGCCCTCAGCAGATCGAGGGGAACACACAGCGGCAGAAGCATCATGGCGAGGGGGCCCACTGTGGAGTCTCGACTTGGCCTTTTCCCGAAAAGTTCTGCACTCCTCTACGGCTCGCCCTGCTCCTAGCATCTGGGCGGGGAGGCGAGAGAGGGGGACGAGTGAGGAAAGGAGTGGGGGGCAGGCGGAGACAGACTCCCTCCGAAGACTGGGCGGATGTCGGGCGCTGCGCGGATTGCGTGCCTTGAGGGCAGTCTGAGAAGTATGATTCCGACGGTCTTTCTTGGGACTGCGCGAGGTACTTGCGCTGCGTGGGGCAGCGGATACAAGAACGTTGGCTCTATGGGTCCACGCCGAGACCGACGCCGAACCCGACTCCGAGCACGACGCCGTGCTCGACGCCGTATCCGACGACCTCCCCGACGCCGTACCTGACGCCGTATCCGACGACCGTCCCGAAACACTAGGGGGAGCGGAGAGGAGGAAGGGGAGAAGGACAGAGGCAAGGGTGAGGAGCCATTACCTTGCTATTGCCCTGATCATCCCAGTCGTCCAGGCAATCGCCGTCGGCCGAGGACCCCACCTTGGCTCACATGAAAGCCACTCTTCCCCGGCGCTGCTGAGCCAAGAGGGCGCGCCCGCCGGCAGCCCCTGCTGCAACCACCTGCGCACTGGAGCGGGCGCGGCAGGCTTGCGGCCAGCCGCTCTGCCGGAAAACGCGGCACCAAAACGCGAAAGTCGAGGACGTGTGGGGCCGCATCCCCCAGGAGTGCGGTCTCCGCACGGCCCGACAAGTCATGGTCCCAGCCTGGGGTCGGTGGCGCTTGCGCTGCACCGCGGCCCGCTGCGCCGCGCGCGGCTTCGTGGACGCCCCGCCCGGCGGCCCTTGCAGCGCTTGCGGCGCGCCGCTCCAGGCCGAGCGCGAGGTGGCGCTGCTCGACCTGGACGCGCAGCGCGCCGATTGCCCCCGGATGCTGGCGGACGCGGCTGTCCGCCACAGCGTTTTCGGGAGCGCGCGCGCCCTCGCGACGGCCGCGGGCGCTGACGGTGCAGTGGCCGCCGAGAGGGGACGCGGGCAAACGCCGCCGCTACCCCAAGCGGCGCGCCCCCTGGCCGCTGCTTCCGCTGGCCCACGTGACCGCGCCGCTTGGGCCAGGCCGCGCTGCGCCACCTGCGCTAGCTCGCGCGGGACCGAGCCTCAGCGCCTGGCGACGGGCCGGAAACCGCAGCGGCCGCGGGCACGCTGGCTCGCCGCTGAGGCGCGGAGCTTAGCTGCGCGCTGCATCGCGCCTCAGCGCGGCAGCTCGGCGACCCGCTCGGCTGGGAACGCGAGCTCGCGGCCCACGCCGCGCTGGCTGCTTCGCTGGCCAGCTACCCGGCCGCGGCGCGGGGCGCGGAAGCGGGTCGCGCGGCTGGTCGGTGCTGTCGGCGCGAGCTCAGAGGGAACGTGTGGGTGCGGACTGCGGCGCCCCTCGAGGAGGAGGATGATGATGAGGAGGAGGAGAAGGAGGAGTCTCTGGAGTCTCTGCCTGATCGCGTAGCGATATGATGAAATCCTCCTGCACCTACTGTAGGTGCTTGATTCTCTGGGCTTGCTCTGCTCTGCTGAGGACCTTTGGCCAGAGACCCGAATTACTACGTCGTAAATACTCGCGCCCAGTGGCCAAGGGGGGTTGACAAACTGTTGCGAACTGCTCGATTTGCTGGGAGACGAAATTCCCGCAATGGGAGCAGACCTAAATCCCCAGTCCAGCGTGGAACCTCGGATGATGGGTTAAATGAACCCACACCCGTGCTGCATGAACCTGCCTATCCAGGGGGGGTCTCATATAAGTGCCATCTACATTCTCGACGTGAAAATATTCTGATGGGTACCATTCTACACGGGTGCTAGCATATGCAAAACCTTTTACACTTGAGACATTTCCTGCCTGTGTCGTCTAGCTGGTGGAGGGTCCCAAACGCGGCACACAGAGAGGGGGCAGGAGGACGGACAGGCTGGGCTCTGGCTTTCCTAGGCCGTCGGCTTCCTACTGGGACGTTCAGACAGTGGGCCTTCTCGATCTCAACGGCTTCTAGATTGGATCTCAGAAGTCTCATGCGGACGAGGTAGGCGTCATTCTCGATTATCCAGATCTTCTGACGAATGTGTTTTTCAACTCGATGGTTCTCTGCGGCAGCGTGGGCAAACTCATCGGCGACAGTGTTGCCGTAGATGAAAGCTGCATTGGTGCGACCGAGGGTGACGTCCTCGCCCGTCGCATGTGAGTTGGTGAAAGGAACGCCGAAATCTCCTGGTCGCCGAGCCTGCTCGACTCCGACCCGATGCCAGAGGTCGATCTGGTCCAGTAGGCGAGTTGGGATGCCCATTGTAGAAGTTCAGGTAGACTCCTTTGCAACCTGTAATGTGCACGACGTCATAGTCGGAAACGTGGAGGGCGAAGGGGCATGGCCAGCAGCTCCCCGCGGACCACCGTCTGCCTGTCGCCAGGGAGGGGCCCCCAAATCGCCACCTCCAGGTGCACGTCGTTGATGCTGAGGCTGTGGAAAGCGGCGATGCTGACGCCCGCGCGCCTCAGCGCTGGTGAGGCTGCGTCCGCCCTTCCGCTGGCGTCGCCAAAAATATACATGACTGGTCTGGTGCGCTTAGCTTCAAAGCTGTGGGGCGTAGGCCTCGACGCCGTGGGCGGCCCAGTGGTCGTTCGCTGCTGGTGGCGGGACCTGCGTCCAGGCTTGGGGGGCCAGACCGCGCGTCCAGTAGCATTCGTACATGTCCTGTTGTGCGGTCGCCTCTCCTATCGCGCGTTCCGTGGCGTCGTGCACGGGGCGCTTCTGGTTGGCGGTGCATTTCCAGGTCCGATGGAATGGGGTTTCTTTTCCTGGCTGGCAGCGTGGGCACATGCTGTCGGCGATGCCGTTGGTCTGCTCCAGCGCTAGAACCTTCGGCCACGCGGCCCCCGCTGCGATGGTGAGCATCCATGTAGACAGCCGTCGCCCGTGCTTCATTTTGGCTAGGTGCAGCAGCAGCTTGCGGCATGACCTGTTGTCGATCCCGCGCTCCATGCCAGATCCCCCGTTGTGTAGACTCGCCTGGGCCCGCGGTTTGGCTTGTGCGCTGCGATCGATGTCCTGCCGCAGCGCGTCTGGGATGTCCACGTGTGGGTTCCCTGTAAGCTGCAAGCGGTTGAACTCCCAGGTGTCCTGGCCGTGGGCTCCGATGATTGCCCGTGGGGGTGTCCACTCATGTGGTCGTGTCGGTGTCCACCCCAGGTCCAGGAGGTACATGATGGTGGAAGACGGCGGTCCCTTGATGTGCCGAGCGCGCTGCCCGCGCGGTAATGATTGAAACTGCTGGAGAACTGAGTCCCATGAGTGATGTATGGCCTTCTCGGCCCCGCCTGGATCCATGTCGTGAGCCACTGCCGGGTGGCTTCGCGTGGGAACTTACGGGCGGGGTCAGAGAAGGCGGCGAGGTCGAGTAGGGTTGCGAGGCGCCGTCCTTGGGGCCGTGGGCCTAGCGAGTCTCCAGGGCGCCCCCGAAAGAGGGTCAGCTGCGTGCCGAGCACTCCGTGGAGTTGGTGCCCGTAGCTGCCTGCAGCCGGTGCCCCTTGAAGGGTCAGCCTGCCCGTGATGTGGTGCCGTCGGGAGGCGCGGGTGAGACGCGCAATCTTATTGTGCTGCAGCCCGTGCTTGATGTGCCTCTGCGCCCTGGTGCCTCGTGCTGCTCGTGCTCCTGCGCGGAGGTCCGTGCCGAGATGTGCTGCCTGCGCCTTGGGCAGGGCCGTGAAGCCATGACGGGCCAGGCCTCTTGTTATGTACCTCGAGTCGTCCATGCTGGGGCACAGCGCGATGGTTTTCTTGGCGGTGCTGGGCCCCCGTTCGCGGAGTGCGCGACATGTGCCCAGCAGGCGCTTGAGGAGGTCGCGCCTGATGGCCTGGTGCGAACCCTGCATGCGCTGGGACAGGCCGCCCACCCATGGGCGAGGACCCTGGGGGCGATGCACTGGAGAAGCTCCAGGCCCAGGACTTCGGCTGGGAAATTCAGCTCGAGGGCTTCTGCTCCCAGGTCGCACCAGCTGATGGAATCGTAGAGCTGTGAGATATCCAAAAGGCCGTGCCCCTGTGGTGCGCGCGCGTAGGCGGTGGGCTCCTCCTGCAGGGCCCGCCCATAGGCTTCTCTCAAGGCGGAGTTGCCTCGGACCGCTGCGCCCCGCGGGGCGTGGCAGTCCTGGTTCCATGCGCGTGCGGCGCCCTCGCGGCGCATGGACCACGAGCGCGTAATCTCGGGGAGAAGCCCGATGATGCGGTCGCCGTTGTCCTTCTTTGCGCGCATGACCCCGATCGTCATCAGGTGTTGGTGCGGCCGCATCTGCAGCTTCTCCATGCTGTTGAGCAAGTATGCGAGCTCCTCCAGCGCCCCCTGCGGCAGGCGCAGCAGGTCCAGCGGTCTGAGGCGGTCGGCGCCTAAGCCCGTGCGCGCTCGCTGCCGTCCAAGGGCGCGGCGCACGTCGTCCCCCGTCAGTGGTGGGAGACCCTGAGCTTGAATATTATCAAAGATCTGTTGGGACAGGTCGGGAAGCCCTCCTAGGGCCTGTCCTGGTGGAGCCCATAGTTGATGCCAGCTGGTAATATTGTGGTCTAGCAGGTCCATGGGATGCACGGGCGCGCGGTGACCTGCCTGGATAGACTCGGCTGGTTTGGGCCGCGGCTTGAGCGAGCGATGTAGCGTGCTCAAGGCTGGGGCGGTGATAGCCC